CTAAACAAAAAAAAAAAAAAAAAAACACTTCTACAAAACGTGAAGGAGTGTAAATGGCACAGAAATACTCTTTCACATGTTATTTTATCTTATATCATTTAATTGCTCATTTTTCTTAGCTTTGTACTAAACTTCATGAAGTGTCGTAACTAGTGTTGGATGATATGCTCTAGTCATATCCTGTCATCAGCTTGTGAGATCTCAGGTATGCCTTATTTCAGTTACAGTTTTCTAAAAATGCTTACAGTACACACAGTTTTTGAAACTATGGATTTCTCAAAACTCTACACACAGAACCACATAACGCACACACAACATGCAAAATGTCATGCATATCTTGCAAAAGCAAACTTCATTTAAAATTATTTGAACTCTTCTAAAAATGGCATTTTTGTGTAGTAACTCTACACACGAACAAAATAATTAGCTACAAACACGCCAAACTACACACAGATGTGAAAAAAGTGCAACACTGCTTTTTTAAACACCGTTTTAAAGCATGTTTAATTTATTCCAGAATAATAACTCGTGGCTGTAACAATTTAAACAATATATTTTATTTGTGAACTTATGTTCAGCTTTTGTTTTTAATAATTAACTTTTAACTATTTTTGAATTTTTCAGATCATCAGTCATCAATGCTCAGTAAATATATTTTAGAAACTTAATTTTCTGTAAAGTTGCTTTGCAACGATTTGTATCGTGAAAAGCGCAATACAAATAAACTTGAATTGAATTGAACAAATATTTACTGAGCATTGATGACTGATGATCTGAAAAATTCAAAAATAGTTAAAAGTTAATTATTAAAAACAAAAGCTGAACATAAGTTCACAAATAAAATATATTGTTTAAATTGTTACAGCCACGAGTTATTATTCTGGAATAAATTAAACATGCTTTAAAACGGTGTTTAAAAAAGCAGTGTTGCACTTTTTTCACATCTGTGTGTAGTTTGGCGTGTTTGTAGCTAATTATTTTGTTCGTGTGTAGAGTTACTACACAAAAATGCCATTTTTAGAAGAGTTCAAATAATTTTAAATGAAGTTTGCTTTTGCAAGATATGCATGACATTTTGCATGTTGTGTGTGCGTTATGTGGTTCTGTGTGTAGAGTTTTGAGAAATCCATAGTTTCAAAAACTGTGTGTACTGTAAGCATTTTTAGAAAACTGTAACTGAAATAAGGCATACCTGAGATCTCACAAGCTGATGACAGGATATGACTAGAGCATATCATCCAACACTAGTTACGACACTTCATGAAGTTTAGTACAAAGCTAAGAAAAATGAGCAATTAAATGATATAAGATAAAATAACATGTGAAAGAGTATTTCTGTGCCATTTACACTCCTTCACGTTTTGTAGAAGTGTTTTTTTTTTTTTTTTTTGAGTATGGCATAAAAGGCAGAATTCTTTGTATGGGCATTTCTCCCGAAAGAGCATGCACACACATCAACCAGAAGGAGAGCGAGAGCAAGAGCTTGTGCATCAATTGTGCTTTATTCGAGTTACAGAAGTCGTCAACAGCGCTGCACAGGACTTCCTCGAGAAAGATTTATCATTTTGTTTTTAGACCACTAAATCAACAATGTCAAAAAAGAAGTGTGTTTTTGGTTGTGAGGGAAATATAAACTTGTTCAGCTTGTCAAAGGACCCAGCGTTAAGGGAGGAGTGGATGCAGTTTGTTTCTCCAGGGGCAGCAACGGAGTTGTGCAAGTGTGTTTGTTTGTTCCCTGTATTTCGGTGACAAATGTTTTATAAACAAATTAAATAAAATTTAAGGCAATAAAGTTGTCGCAGCTTTCAGACGATCACTATGCAAAAGCTGAGCATGCTTGTGAATCTTTACGCCTCCAGGAGCTCGACTGTTTTCGGAGAGAAGTGGTAAAGCTGTATCTGTCTTTTAGAAATCTGATAAAACTCAAGACTCTTCGGAGATATGAAGGATGCAATACTACTCTATAGGTACTCAAGATGAACATGAGATTGGCAGAAACTGTGTTATGTCCCCTTTAATACCGAATTAGAATGGCAAGACAACAAACCCTTTGACATCACAGGTTATAGTACTGCAAGATGGCGGTGACATTGCTAAATAAGCTATAATGGGACATCTCTTTTCTTTTAAAAGTTTACATTTGTCGTGTTTGGTATATAATTGTTCATTAGAGTAGATATTCATTTACTAAATGATGTTACCTTGACTGGCTTCATTTCCACTTTAATTAAAATGTACATTTATTTGCAATAAATAACAACAACAATAAAAACAAACATGGCAGCACCAGAATGAGAACTACTGCTCATCTAAATGACTGACTAGTGTCGTTGTGAGGTACTTACCAGTAACAGACTCTGGACATGATCAGCTCCAATCTTATCAATGTTGGACACCACTGGTCCATCCATCACAGCTTTAATACGAGCACCTTCTCCAGATAGCCGGGGGATGATCACTGTCTTTATCACCTACATGGAAATGAAACGATTTAAGGTTTACTCTCAGTGAATGATCAGCACACTTGAATGATACAAAACAGTTTTCTGATAAAGCAATATGGTACACGAGACTGCTGTATACAGTGGCAGCGCATAGCAGCAACTCATTCAGCTGGGATTATATTCACAAAACAGCATGGCCTTAAATGCCTTAATTTTTGTATAAAACAGAACAGCAGTAAGCAAATTCATTATTCATTTAGTAACTTTTAATTTTGGGCAAAAATGCACGCCTTGCACTGCTCTGCGATGCGCGTCCCTGACTTCACGTAATACGTAATTACGTTGAAAAAGTCACGCTTGATGTAGGCGGAAGTTTGGTTTCAGAAGATTTAAACATCCAGGATACGCACACGAAGTGACCATTTTAAACGATAAACTGTCACAAAGACATTTGAATATGTGTCATTGAACATACAACAACTTGAACGGTCCTCCTTCTCCACATTTGTAAACACTGACTGAGTCCGTACTTCCGCCTACGTCAAGCGTGTCAATGTAATAACGTATTACGTGAAGTCATGGATGCGTATCGCAGAACAGTGCAAGGCGCGCATTTTTGTTTATAAAGCATATACTTTTTTTTTCTTTTTTTTTTGAAAATGACTGATCATTTCGCTAGATAAGACCCTTATTCCTCGTCTGGTATCGTGTAGAGCCCTTTGAAGCTGCACTGAAACTGTAATTCTGACCTTCAACCGTTTGGTAGCCGTTGAAGTCCATTATAAGGTGAATAATCCTGGAATGTTTTCATCAAAAACCTTAATTTCTTTTCGACTGAAGAAAGAAAGACGTAAACATGTTGGATGACATGGGGGTGAGTAAATTATCAGGAAATTTTAATTTGAAAGTGAACTAATCTGGACGCCATGACTGAATAGACATTGGAAAACGTGGTCTCTGCGAATTTATTGTTAAACCATCTAAAATAATAACTTATACACGGTAAATAAAACACCATCTGCATCATAAAGATGAGCTCTTCTAGCAGACATGCCAGATCTGGGACAAAACATGATAATTTGAGAGAGACGAAAGGAAACGGTCGCTAAGCCCTATTCAGACGCGGGCTAGCACCGAATCAGCCATTACGGATCTGGTTGGTGAACTTAAACAATTGCGGAAAAAAAATCAGCAGGGTCACATTGGAACGAAAGAGTCGCTGACAAGACTAGAAACTTCGGTCGAAGAATTGAAAGATCAAATAACAAAGTTGGAAACGCGTATCGTAGAGGCAGAGGAACGTATTAGCAACAACGAAGACTCCGTAATACGACACGGGAGGGCGATTCGATACTTACTGCAACACGAGGTGGAATTATCCGCCAGGTGCGATGATCTGCAAAACAGGCTAAGACAGAATAACTTAAGAATCTACCAAGTGCCCGAAAACAGCGAAGGAGGGAAGAATCCAGTTGAATTTGTGAAAGACCTACTCACTTCAACTTTAAACTCTCTCCCTGATGGTGACATAAAAATTTAAAGGGTTCACAGAGCTCTGGCTACCAAGCCAAAAGACAAGGAACCACCCAGATCAATAGTGGTCAAATTCACGGATTTTCCAGTGAAAGCAGCGATCCTACGCCAGGCCTGGGTACAAAAAAAAGTAATTGCATTTGTTAACAGTCCAGAAGCAGAGAAATGTTGGAGGGGGTGTGGGAAGGTAGGAGATCACACACACATATATTTGATGTGTATTTTATGTGTAAATATCTACATTTTGGCGAGGGGTAAAGGTTGAGATTATGAAAATTCTGCATATAGACCTGCCTTTTACTCCCCTGTTTTTCTTACTTGAAGGGATACCCCAGGATTTATGTAGTAAAAACCAGAGATATATACTGCATATACTCTTACTAAGTGCAAGAAAAACCATAACAATTAATTGGATAAAGCCACACCCTCCAAAAATGGCCCAGTGGATAGAAAAACTTGAATCTATTTATAGAATGGAATATATGACTGCCCAACTCCAACTGAAACTGGACATTTTTATACAAAGGTGGACACCTGTTACTATGTATCTGGACACATTGAAAATGAACTGATCAGTAAGGAACCTTGATTTATTCCCTGTTGTATTATTTGACAATGTTGTATGTGTCTTCTTTCTATTCTTCTTACTTATTTGTATTAGTTCTCTTTTTCTTTGAGTCACTGCTGCTGTCAAGGAATGTTTAGTTCATTGTTTGTAATTTTCTTGAATGTATAAAAAAAAGAAAAAAAAAAGAAAGTGAACTAATCCTTTAACAGTAAACTTCACTTCACTTATTATAAATAACTTTAAAACACAAATAGAACAATATATATACACTATCGGTCAAAAGTTTGGGATAAGAACGATTTTTAATGTTTGTAACAGAAGTTTCTTATGCTCATCAAGGCTGCATTTATTTGATCAAAAATACAGGAAAAAAGTGTAATATTGTGAAATATTATTATGATGTAAAATAATGTTTTTTTTTAATTTTAATATATATTAAAATCAAATGTATTCCTGTGATGCAAAGCTGAATATTCAGCATCATTACTCCAGTCTTCAGTGTCACATGATCCTTCAGAAATAATTCTAATATGCTGATTTATTATCAGTGCTGGAAACTGTTGTGCTGCTTAATATTTTTTTGGAACCTGTGATACTTTTGTGATACTTCAGGATTCTTTGATGAATAAAAAGTGAAAAAGAAGAGCATTTATTTAAAATAGAAATCTTTTCTAACAATATACACTACAATTCAAAAGTTTGGGGTCAGTAAATATTTATTCTTTCTTTTTTTGAAAGAAATTAAAACTTTTATTCAGCAAGGATGTGTTAAATTGTTAAGAAGTGATAGCAAAGATTTATATTGCTAGAAAAGATTTATATTTTGAACAAATGCTGTTCTTTTTAACTTTCTATACATCAAAGAATCCTGAAAAAAGTATCGCAGTTTCCAAAAAAATATTTTCAATTAACCGTGGCAGCTCTGGGCACACCGAGGCCAGTTTCTGTGGGGAAATTTATGCTAATATTCAAGTCACATAAATGTGGGTCTTTGTTTGCATTATCTTGGTAATTTGTATTGTTTCTAATTTCCCTTTTAATTAGATGAAACATTGTTTATGTCTTACGCTTAGGAAATGATGAAAGACATTCATATATTTGTTATTAACTTTAAATTAATTAGAAATGAGAAAGGTAGAGGGTAGGGGTGAAACGATACACATATTCATATTGAACCATTCGGTATGAGGCTTTCGGTTCGGTACGCATTACAAACCGAACGATTCGATTCATTGGTCTAATCCTATTACATTTGGAAAATAAAACAGCTTTATGTGTGTGAAATATAATGTTCTCAGTGCCACTGCGCTCAACAAGGCAGCCCAAACGACGTAACAGGTAACGTGCTGTCTAGTGGATGGGCACGCAGGGCATGCACTGCAAAAGGCCCCGCGATAACCTCCTCTTGCTGGAGTGCGTTGAAAGACGATGATCTTGTATCAACGATATTGTCCAGATTTGTCAAAAATCAGTTATTGGCAATATTAAGAGGATTTGGCATTTTCAATTAATGTAGCCTTGCTACATTGTTATTTTTATCAGGCCAATTATTATTATGACGTTACTTTTATTAATAAATTTCATTATTAACCCTCTACCGCACGCATTATGATAGACCTATAGAAAATATTATTATTATTATTATTATTATTATTATTATGAAGTTACTTTTATTATTAAATTAAAATTACAATTAATTTCCCCCGCAATATTAGCTACCGCATAACTGACGCGCTGCGAGGATAACAAAAGTTTAGGCTATCTATTCCTCGATTAAAATGTAAAAAAAAAATAACTCAGCAGTCATCAATTAAAATCAATGAATAAAAAGCTTTAGCCTATTTCAAGCACCAACTTTCAAAAACAACCTGTTTAACACGAAATATGTTTCTTGTCTTTTTTTTCCCACTATGTACGGGCCACAAGAGAAATATTAAGGGAATAAATGAAAACAGTTAGCTATATACCATTATCAGCATGTTAAAGTAGATTGGTCTCTCATCGTCTCTGAGAGAACATGCTGCGACAGATGCCAAAAGCTCCGTCATTACTCCGTCATTCCGTTTTTACTTTCACTTTATGCATAGTGAATTGACTAAGATTAAGACGTTCACCGGCATAACTCTTGCACGAAGTTTGCACGTTGCTTATGTGATATCCATAGGCTCACCTTCATGGTTTAAAACAGAAATATTTCCGACATTGCGATGTAAGCAATATATATATATACTGTATATATATATTCGGGCTGGGCAAGTTAACATGTTATTATCGCGTTAACACATTCATTGATTAATGCCGACAATTATTTTATCGTGGATTAACGCAGTTTTTTATTATTATGAAAGTCCATTTCTCACTGGCTCTGTATACACATACAGACAAACCATGGGTCACAGGAGGGGTGGGATGTAGAGCCCTGCACGAGCCTCAAATATAGGCCCTAGCCTGAGACGCTCAGGCCCTAGCCTGGCCCTTGTCCGACAACTCATCAGAATTCTTGGCCCGAGTCCGACCCGAGCCCGTCTCCCCGCCCCCCCTTCTCCCAAAACAGCTTATACTACTATTTCAGCTATTAAAATAGTTCAGTTTTATATGTAATGTCAAAGTGAATATATTTCGTTTCGTTTTTTTATTTTAAATTTAAAGTTAATTTAGAAAAACGTTTGGAGCATGTTTTGTTCGTTAAATGTAAGTTTTAGTTTTTTTAAATAACGACCAAGCAGCCAGTGGCAGACAGTGAGTTGATCATGTTTGATCAATTTAGTCTTCTCAAATCATCACGACTTACCTAAAATAAAATCTATAGATATAAAACAGTTCAAGCATATCACAATGTTAGTTTAAATGTTTAACCTATATAAATGTGCGCTATTAGATGCATACCTAATCGTTTGTGCAGAGAGCTAAAGCGCGCTTTACAGGACATGGAGGTGCCAGCGCGATCACTTGCATTGGAAACAACGTAAAATATGCCGTCATTTTTGCTCATCAAGGTAAGAGTAATACATCACTCGGAACTGTAAAGGGTCTATTTTTATTTGTATGCACTCACAATATCAACAAAACGTTGTGCTTTTATAAAATAAAGGATAAATACAGGATGCGCTTTCTGCAATTTCGGCCAGGAGCGCTTCACAATGATGAATCGAAACTCATCGAATACTTGCCTCACAGATTTGCTAAATATATCTATAGAACATTTTAAATTACTACTTTAAAACTAAATAATTCAAATCAAAAACAAAAACTCTTTGAATGCATTTATCTCTAAAGGTGCGTCTAATGAGGAGATGGCGAGTCAGGATCGTCATCATCTTTGCGATACGGACTCAGAAAACACTAATTTATTAATAAATAATTCAAATATCTCCTTACTATTCCCCCCCCAACACATTCATGATAATTACTTTTGCTGGGGCTTTGCGGCACGCTTTAGCCTATTGCGTGTGTTTTTTGCTGTCATGTGCAAGGATATGTTTGCAGATTCTGCACTGCACATGACCAATTGACTCACTTTTTTGCCGTGGTAATCAAATCAAAACTCTTCCAAAATGAAGCTTTTCCCGAAGCATTGGGATGTTGATCAGTACTGGCTTGGGATGGGCGTCATCACGCGTCTCAACCAATGAGAGCATTTGAGGTGGGCCTAAGACTACAGCAGCGCTCACATGAAGCGCTCAGGACTTCATAAGTGGGAAATAGGAAGTTTCAGATAGCACGTGAAGACAGCAGAGAAGCGCTCTCGCTCAGCACAGTGGAGTGCATCGCTTTGTTAACTTTGTGGTTTATTGTTTTGAGTCATTTGGGACGTGGTAACACACGGCCCTCTCACAATATATTGCTTTACAGATCGATCACTTTTGCCGCTCAGAAATGTTCAAGCAATCATGCTGCACATATCAGAAGTTCAGCGCTCTGACACTGCATGCGTATTTTGCGCACAACTGAACCGCGCTCTGGCCCACCTCTTTCAACCGAGCCAGGGACGGCTAAACGAACCACGCCCGAGCGCGGTACGGAGCAATCACACTAGTCATACGAACCGGGCTTTGGGGGTCAAACGCGCTCGGGCACGTTTCAAAACGCCTAGTGTGAGTACACCCTTATTCTCCCGCATCCTGCACACACAAGTCTCTACCCACCGCACTCGCCCATCAAGAGTTGGGTCCTGCGATAGTGCAAGTATATATATATATATATATATATATTATTTTTTCCACAAATTCTGTGTTGTGTATTTTCTGGTAATCAAATGAACACACAGAACATGAGGATTTGTATTTAAATAGTCTTTTTGCAGTTTAATATTCACAGACACTAGTCTATA